AAGCTTTTTCAATTTAACTCGTGTAACATTAAGAGGAACAGAGACGAATCTTCCATCCATTTATCCTTCCTTCCTTTAAAACTTCCTCTGCAGATTTAAATCAGGATAAATGTTGAATATATTCAGTAGTTTTGTAATAACTTCCCTCATTTCTGCCTTTTTTATTTATTTATACCTCTTTCTGTTATTTTTTTATGATTTCTCAGAAAATAGATGAAGGAAATTTCAGGGGCATAAGTAGTGGGGAGATAAAAGCGTTTTGTTTTACGAGCCAGAAGCGACAGTGAAAGGTTTTGCTCTCGTTTAAAAGCGTTTTCCTCTCTGTTTACGACTGAAGTGGTTTCCATTAATGCCGTCTGACAGCAGCGAGCCGCTTGTTTATGCTTCGCCGTCTGTCTTGTAAACAGAAGCAGGCGGGTTCTGTGTCTGCAGCTCATCTGAGTTTTTCTGTTCCTCCAGATGTCATCAAACCAAGTTTAGTTTTGGATCATTTTGTTTTTAGCTGTAATCGCTGTTTGTTGATTGTTCCTCTTTAGGCCCAAACATAGTAACTTCTGTTTCATGATGAAACTTTCAAAGATTACAAACTGTAAGGATATAGTTTAATTTGTATTAATTGTATTAGGGTCCATATTGTCTAATTTAGTTATTAATAATTAGCGTATACAAACACAAAAAAATACAGTTTACTAAAATAACATACTCAGGCTAGTAATTTAAACCAAAACCGTACAAAATATATACATTTTGCATTTAAATATAATAAAATTAAACCCTTTGCCTGTAAATATGTTCTACCCAGAGCTCCTCATTAACTCCTGGAAAGGTTTTTGTTTCACCTGGATTAAATTACTGTAAAAAAAAAATAAAAATCTCTTATTAGGCTCCTTTTTCTATCCAGCATTTTTTTTGTTTAATAAAAATAATCAACAAATTTAGGCAATAAATGCTTATTATTTATTGCCTTATTCCCTTATTTTAATAAGGGACTGAATTATTTATTTTTATTTTTTATATATATATATATTTCTAATATTGTATAAAAACGACTTAAATGCATTTTGAATCATTTTTTAAATGGTTTAAAATAAAATAAAAAATAACTTTTCAAGTAAAGTAAAAATGTATTTGGTAAAAAAAAATAGTCTGCTCAAGTTCTGAGTAATGGATCATATTATTAATCATTTAATATTTAAAATCATATAATCAGACAAACCAAAATATAAACTTAAGAGGAAAGTTTGGTATTTTAAGGACCAAAATGAAAATTTATATAACAAAATCAGGCAAAATAAAAACTGCAGGTGTGTTTCTGGTGAATGTTTGGTTAAAATATGTTTGTTCTTCATTCAGTTTGTATCCAACTCCACTTAAACGGTTAAATGAAAAATTTGGAGAACCTGGATAAATCCTATTAATCAATAACTAAACTAATCGTTATTTGCAGCTAATGTGTAAAACTGAGTTCTCAAACATTAAATTCAAAGTTTAGCTCTTAAAAAAACAGAGCCAGATTAAATCTTCAGAAGGTGTGAACCCGTTGAGCTTCTCGTTTTGCGCCAGGATCCTTCGTTCTCCTGAATGCATGGTGGTGAGCAGAGTTTTGTGTTTGTGTGCCCCAGGCTCCGGGACGCTGTGTGCCAGCTGGCAGTGCCTGGAGGCCCCCCACGGCCCTCCACCCAGCCTGGCCGTCCAGTTTGTGGGCTCCGGGACGTCGCTGTCGGGCATGGACGTGGAGCTGGTGGGAACCCGGTACCGCATGTCGCTGGTCAAGAAGAGATTCGCCACAGGTGATTCTGAAATCACATCTGCTGTTACTTCTATATGCTCATTTAAAAATGTGTTACTCTGTCATGCTACATATCAATCTGGTTAAATTTAACTCTATCAAGTATTTGCTTTCAGGTTTTGTTGCTCTGTTTTTATTATATTTTATTAATATTGATGCTGTCGCTTTAAATTTTGACTGAACTGTTTCATCTTCTAACTAAACTAAAATGTAATTTTACGCAGAGTTGGGTCGGTACTGGTGTGGTTTCACCGTTTCTCTACTGATTTATTAAAATGCATTTGTCACATTTTATAATCTGTTGTGGTGCGTTTGATTTTAATCTGGATTATTTTGCTGTACAGGGAAGTACATGGCCGGCTGCTCCCTGTGACCCTTCAGATTCTGATCGGCTCCTCGCTGCTGCATCAAACTCAACGTTCAGTCGTGGAGGACACCGTGCACTTACTTCTGACACGTCCTGCTGTTTTAGGACCAACGTTTCTCTTCTTCTTCTACTGTTTCTCTCTGTTTGTGGTGTGTTTTCCTGGAGAGAAACCCGTTTTTACTGAAGCTCCTTTGTTCAGACTGTGTTGTGTTTGGATCAAGAAACTGGAAAATAAGCTGCATCTCTTTATGTAAATTATAAAAAAAATTATTAAAAAAAAAAGCTGCTGCCATGAAGTTAGGGTATTTAATTAATGTAAATACTGTATCTTTGTACCAACATTGTGATCTTCTATCAAACTGTAGAAAAAACTGTTTGTAAAGCAGAAACTTGTTTTAAGTAGAGGTTTTTGTGATGATCAAAATGGATTAAATAATAAACAAATGTGCTTAAACCATTTGGGTTTACAACAATTTATTACACTTTGTGACCAAGTACAAAATACAGTGAAACTATGCAGTTTATTACAGACAATCATCTGTCCTTAGGCTAGTTAAAGTGGAGTCAAGAACAGGTTTAAAAATACACAAATTCAGTATACATGTGAGAAGAAACTAGTTCAATAAAAAATAATCTAACAGCTTTACAAAACGTTACAAAGTACACATAGAAATAATTTTCCTCCAAAGCACTTTAAGGCAAATTACTGTGACAGGCACAAGTTACTAAAGCCTTAAATAACTTAAGACTCTTGTTGCTACAACAAAATCATCTGAGGGAAAATAAAAAATAATTTCAACACAAAAATTCCATCAATTCAGATTAGCTCATAAATAGGATTTTTTTTGTTTTGTTTCCAGACACCTTAGTTTACTGCGGCGCTGCAGTAATAAACCGTTTTACACATTTAACATCAGGTTGGGAACAGATTTGTCTCATTCAGCTACACAGCAAAGCATTTCCTTCTGACGCAACGGCATCAGAGAGACGAAGCGTTTTCTACATCATATAAACATATTCATCACGTTTTCTGAAACGACACGCTGCATTTCCTATTGGAAGAGAACAGAAGACATCAACAGAGCTGCAGCCTGAGGTTAGAGGTTCTGCAGTCTCCAAGCCGGCTCAGCTCCGCTCCACGTTTTGTCAACACGGATTGTTTGACATCCTGCCTCCTTTCTGTTGATTAATCTGGAATATTTCCAACTCCAGAGCGAGTTACATGCACAGTCCCTTGCAAAACTATTCACATCCATCATCATTTTTTTACTGTAGCAAATGGAAACATATACATTTTTGGGGTTTTTTCACAAATAAAAGTCTGAAAAGTTCAGCATGGATTTGTATTCAGCCCCTAGATAAAGTCCAGTGACTTCAATCAAATTATGTTTTAGTGAATGTGGAAACTAATCAGCATAAATTCAGCTGTTTTCTGAAAACCTGAAACCTACCAGGAACATCTGAGCAAAGAATTAGTCATGTGATCCACATGTTTGACCTCAAGAAAGTCTAATTTCAACGCGCCATGTAGGAGAAAAAACAGCAACGATATTCTATTCAGATTTAAAAAAAAAAAAAAAAAAAAAACGTTTACAGTTTATTCATGCATGGAAAATGCTGTTTCACCTGCTCTGAAACACGGCAATGGCACCATCATGCTGTGGGGACTGTTTGCATGCAGCAGTTACTGGGACAACACAAGAATCGTTTAGATCAGGGGTGTCAAAACTTTTCGTGACAGGGGCCAGAACCCCACTGCTGAAAATACTTTGGGGTTATGCTGTATTTCAAAATCATTTTGTGTTTTTAAGTTTTATCTATTTATATTTATTTGCTCAGCAATGAATTAAACAATCAATATGATAATGAAACAAAGTGTCAATGTTTTTGAATTCATAAAAAGCAGACAGGTTCCTGACTTTTTGTTTGTTTCTCTAACAAAAATGAGAACTTGTATTAGCCAAATTTAACAGATGAAATAAAGTGTTAAATTTGTCAATGAAATCCTTAACGAATAAAAACTTTACAAAAGTGACCACAGTTTAAATTGTTCCACAAACGGCCCCCGGGCCACATGTTGGACACCCCTGGTTTGGCTCTAAATATTTTCATATTTAAATCATTCTGAGAATGTCTGGACTTTAATTTTCAGTCTTCGGACGAGTAAAACTGACAGATAAATCAGGGGGACTGATTACAAACACCAATGTTTTCAGATTCTTCCCATCTAATAAATGATGACCTCTGAGTTGGAGTGAAAACTTCTGCAAGGCAACAGGCTTTTTGTTGAACCATCTGGAGAACAGAACAGAAACGTTGAGGTAAAAATCCAGCTTTTCCAAACTCTCGGCTGAGCTGGAAAACAAACGGGAAAGTCCTTTGGGTTCCTAGGCTGCATGTTCTTACTTCCTCTGACCCATTTCTTTTTTATATTATTGTTTTTTTACCGTGTTTTTGCTACGAGGTGCAGCAGAGGCATCAGGGAGAGAGAGCGAAGGCGCTCTGAGCGTTTTGAGGTTTGAAGACGGTACATTCATACTGCGGTTGAGGCACAGCTGAGGGACAGGTCCACATCCGTAGCGGCGATTTCAAAGTTAATCTAAGGCACTCAAAGGACACTATGGCACAACGAACTCGGATTTAAAGAAAAAATAATAAAACCAAAAACAGATGGAGCACAAAAACGCCACCGTTTAGAAGTTAAACATCCAATATGAGAAGCTACTCCGCAGAAGAAATTCACAGTCCCAACAAAAACAGAAAACGACGAGATCCGTTACACCCCTGTGAAACGACAGCGAATAAAAACCGTGTGTGTGAGGGGGTTTGGGAGTCAGGGGTTCTAGGGGGTCGACCATCTTTATAAACACTTCTACTGCTTCTGCACTCTTCTCTATTTACATTGCACTCGTTCTGCTGCTTCCGGTCCGCTCAGACCGGACTCACATTTCCTGCAGAGGGTGGCCTATTTCAATCCTCTCCCTCTTCACCGCCGGTTCGGCCGGAGTGCCGTCGCCGTCCAGGTTGCTCATCTCGTCTGAGAACGACGCATCTGAGGGAGAGGAAGAGGATTCTCCGTTTTCGTTTGGCTGTTAAAACGCGTTGCTATGGCAACCGGGGTTTCAGAAAACAAACGCTTACCCTTCTCCAGGAGCGACGGCATCATGGAGCTCAGGTCGCTGAACTGCAAGTTGAGATTAGAGGGAGAATTTGTAAACAGAACAAAATAACGAGACTTTAGGCTAACGGTGCTTTGCTAACAGTTTTCAAACACGTTCTGGTTGTTCACATCCTGTCAGCGTTTAATGTTTTTTACTGGAATTATGTTTGACAGCAAACCAAAGCAGCACAAGTGGCTTCACTGTGTTAAAATCTATAAAGTGTGGCATGTTTTTATTTGTATACCTAAGGCTCCATGTAGCAGAACGACAAAAAAATCAAGAGTTATGAAAACTTCAGCATGTGTTCCAGGTGGGGCTGTGCGATCTGGAACACATGCATCATCATCATCATCATCATCATTAAAATCTGATGATGATTTTAATCAATTAGTTTCTTCACTTTTTTCCTTAAATTTTTTACCGACATTTGACTTGATCTGAATTCAAACTAGTCAAAATAAACAGAAGCCATCTTGTCAAACGCAGATGGTAGTTCTTGGTTTGCTAACATCGCTATGGAAACCCAAAGAATGTATTGATGAAAAAATAATCCTAGTTTTCCACAAATTAAACAGGAACTTTGATAAAACCCGATTCATCACCCCACTCTGATCTCTCTTACCTCTCCCATCACCGCTATGGGAGTTTCTCCGGTTGCCTGGGCAACGCGGTGCTCCACCAGGTAGAACATGTACTCGTCGTAAAGCAGGCGGATCAGATGGAACGAGCCGAAGCTGGCGGCGCTGCGCAGAGTCAGGTCTCTGATCACCATGGAGCTGCAAGCAGAGAAACGAATCGTTATTCATCGTTATTCTGGATTTTTAAGGAACGGCCTCAGCGCCGCGCCGTACCTGTAGAAGGACCACTTGAGCAGGAACTGGCGGGCGGCTTTGGGGAAGCTGGGGCTCCCCTGGTGAGGCTTCAGGACCTGAGAGACCACGTTGTCCAGCCAGGTGGCCCACTGGTCCAGGGAGCTCTGCTGCTGCAGGGTGACCTTGAAGTCCTGCTCCAGGCGCTGGACCACGCCCTCGTCACACTGGCAGACCCACGACGCCTGCTCCTGTTGGACAAACCCGGGGTCGGTCAGAGGGGAGCCGCGGCGGGCCGCGGAGCCTCCTGGGGGCGGAGCTCACCTGGACATTGGCGAAGTCCACCCTGTTGAGGTCGGAGAGCATCTGGTTGATCTGGGAGGTGTTCTGCAGGACGGCGCGGGCCGCCTGGGCCAGGTGGTTCAGACTGGTGTAACGCCTCAGAGTCTGGGCGAACGCACTGACCACCGCCACCTGCACAGGAAAACACGCAGCGACTCAGACATGAGGAACCAGCTGCTGAGACAATACTCAGTAATCGATCATTAAGACCCGAAGAAAGAACATCTGCTGAAAAAAAAAACCTTGGTCTGTAAATCTGTAATACGCAGAATTAACTTCAGCTTCACCTTCTTTAAATTCTGCACAGAAAATTCTATTAATCCAAATATTAATTAGTTAAATGAAAAAATAATCAACACATCAGCTATAAAAATGTGGGTTTTTTTTTAACTCTTTTGCAACAAATGATCAGCATTCACTAACTGAATGCCAAGTTCTTGCATTTTAGGCAACAATATGTTTATTTTGTTATTTAAAAAAGAAATTAAATTATTTGTTTACAAATTTTGATTTTGATGCATTTCTAATTCTGCAATAAAAAAAGACTCAAGTGGTCAGATGAAAAATCTGAAGAAGGTATCAGTTTTCTTTCAACTGATTATCATCAGAATAATCAATAGTAAAATAATCGTTAGTTGCAGCCCTACCTGTAGCTATCATCAGGCCTAATTACCTAATAATCAACATTAAATGTCTTTCTGGAGATTTCCGGTTACCTTGGTGCGAACGATCTCTTGTGGGAAGCTGGTCATGGCGGTCGTCAGCCAGCCCTCCAGACTCTTGGCGAAGTTTCTGATGGCCTGAGTGAGAGTGCCTGAAGAAACAGAACGGCCTGGATTACCAAACGGCACCGGGGCTGTGACAGTTACTGCAGACGGCCTCCAACAAACGCAGAGTCACGTCGCAAAATGCCAAACTAAACTCACCATCACAGCATCAATATGTGCAGCAACAGGGGAGGATTTCATGGATGCATTTGAAATAAAACAATCTGCTTCCTGATTGTGTGTTTGTCCAGTTAGACTGACTTCCAGTGTCTTTTCTTGTGAGCTGAAGCTCAGCGAGCGTTTGGACATCGTGATCACGGGAAAGAGCAAACAGCTACATGGAGGTCAGGGAACGTCCCGGATTGGGAAAATATTATCAGCCTTCTGGAAATTTCAGAGCTAAGGTGAAGTTTCTGTGAGGAATGACGCAGACTGTAGTTAAGCTTAGTTTGTTTCTAATCTAGCGCTAATCCCTCATATGAGATGCTAAGGAGTTTAAATCTAGACAAAATAAAAATTTGCTATTGAAACATAATCAGTGAAAAATGGATCAACAATATGATGGCACTTAACAAAATGAAATGTTTCAGTTGTTGACCGTGTTCTATGATCTTGTGTTTTTATGACCTAAAGCACTTTGAAATATAAATGCCTTGTTGTTGAAAGGTGCTATATAAATAAAGTTTTATTTGATTTAAGTATGAATTAAAATGTCTGCCTCTTTTGTCTTTTCAGTGAAACCTTACAAACACAGTGTGACATCATCACTGCATCACTTAATGCTGGAGAGGCAGCAAAAGCTGCTGATTATAGTCCTAAAGAATCTGATAAAAACAATTTCTACGAGCAGGTCAAAGGTTAATCAGAGCCTCTCTGCTATGTGATGATAAAAGCCACTGACTGGGAACGGGGCGCAGCACGTCAGGGATGAGGATCTCCACCAGGGCCTGGTACAGGATGTGGTCGCAGCTCCTCATCCATAGCCGGACCGGTTCATATTTGCACAGAGATACCAGCTTCTCCCTGGGAATCACTCGCTCCAGGTCATCATCACTGCACAGAACACAAAGGAACAAAAGCAACGTGAATGCTGCTGCTCTGGACTCGGGTGGGTTGAAACCCACAGAGAGCCGTTTCCATCTGATCCGACCTGCTGGGGATGGTTGTGCTGCCGTCACTAGATGGCGCTGCTGCATTCCAAAAGTTCTGCCAGAAATTCTCCACATAGTGGAACTGCAGATTCATCACCACATCCAAAGTAGCCTGCAGGAGAGAGGGAAGGCAGGGAAGGAGAGGGGAGGCGGGGGGAGAAAACACACAGAGCTGAGCCATGGCAACCAGACACACAACAAAGTTTCTCCAGGCAGGCAGGCAGGCAGGCAGCCTCAACCTAGGTCCTCCTGGTTCCACAAAAACCCAGCTCCCTGCACATTAATCATCCACAGAGTCCATTCGGTTTCAGTGCTTTTGTGAAGCAGCTTTACAGATTCGTCTTCCTGCTCTGAGTGGCCTGAACTCACCTGCAACATTTCTTTCCTGTTTCCTGTGCTTGAGTTATGGAGACAGAGTTGTGAGCGTGTCGGTGAACGTAAAGGCAGCAGAGGTGAGCTGCTGCAGCAGCGTTGGTGACAACCTGATTCTACAGAGATCGCAACTTTATAACGCCTTGCAGTCAGGCCAGATGAGTCTCCGTCAGGGGGGAAAAACTCCCAGATATCATCTGTTTATTTAGTTTTTATCTGCGTTACTAAAGTGCCCAGAACACGCCGAGCCTCCTCTTCCTCCTCTTCTCCTCTTCCTCCGTGCAGCACGGTGAACGCTTGCAGCAGGATCCTGTTACACGGCAGCGTAAGTCTCGATCACATGATATGTTTTTGCTTCCTCTCCGCCAGTCGCCATGGCAACCGTGTTTACAGTTGCCCCCAGCAACAGGTCAAACACAGAGCTTCCAAAACAAAAGGAAGAATTCCCCATTCCCTCCAAACGAGCACATTCTGCCTTCCTCCAAAGCCAGCGAGCGAGAGAGACAGAGAGCGCGCGCGCGGCTCGTCCTGCCTCGCAGCTTTCCATCGACGCAGGAAAAACAACCCGACAACAACAAGCTGAAAGAGTGTGGAGGAGAAACCGAGTTGCTGACGGAGGTGCTAAGCCTCTGAGAAATCAAAGCTGAGGTTTGAGACTCGAGTGTTTTTACACCAAAACGCTTCACTAAACTTCTATGGCTTCAAGCCCGGCCAGGAAAAACTGTTGTGTTACCATGACAACAGGAAGAGGAAGGAAATATAAAAACAGGTACATCTCAAAATGTAGGATTAGGCCTGTCACAATAACAAACACGGTAAAGACTATAATTTGTACCAGAAATTAGTGGGATAAATAATGTTTTTTTAAGATGATTTTCAAGTATTATAATGATAATGAGATAATAAGTTCTCCCTCTGAAAGACTAAAACTTTAATTTGTACAGAATATTCCACACTCAACTGTTAGATAACCAAACAAAAAACAATAAATGAAGAGGAAATGAAACCCACACAGAAGTTAAACCAAAAATAAAATTAATTATAAAGTCTCTCCGAAGAAAACTGCACTTCAAAAAAACAATCAGAATGGAAATTATCAAGATCATCTTAATTTATCGTGTGATTAATTGATTAATTGCTTTTATTGGGAGAATCATTAAAAACTTTAGATTAATTTAACAGAGACAATTCTCACGCATTTATTTCTTCTGATTTTGATGACATCAGCAGAACTTATGGCTAATGAAAACCAAAATTCAGTTTCTTATAAAGTTGAATCAAAGTATATACATATATATGTTCAATATAGAAATATTATATTAGAGCCTACACAATAATGGGAGGGTTGCTGAGCTCAAAAGGCCCCCACTAAAGAAGTTGATTGTTTAGAATGTTACATACAAGCATATAAATGGAAAGTTGAGTGGAAGGAAAAAGTATGGGAGAGAAAATGCAAGAGAGAGAGAGAATTGTTGCAGAGAAGTTTTCAGGTGAGAGAGTTTGGAGGAAGAGAAAAGAGACGGTGATGATTTGGGCTGCATTGGTCACAGCTGTCTGCCAGACAGTTATAAAGCACTGCATGTGTTCTTCTGCTGACAATCTTTATGGAGAAGCTGATTTTATCTTCCAGCAGGACTGGACCAACACCTGGTATCGCTGGGCCTGATTGACGTGAAACTCCTAAAATAATCTCTGGAGCATCAAGAGGAAGATGAGACAATGGAGCAAAGTGGGCTTCCTTAAAACAGGCTGATCATGTCCATGCCACGCCGCATTGATGCAGCACTGACTCCATAAACTGTACACGGACATGATAATAGCTTTTTTTTATTAATCCTATCCAATATTTACAGTTTTTGAGAAAATGAAGCTGTAATTCAAACATTTAGCTAAGTAATAATAAAAAGACTAAGCTCTAAGGAAATGCATTCCTCATACTAACAACTTGTTGTTTCTTGATGTCTAAAGATTACACAAAGCAGACAGATTAGTCCCAGGGAGCGGTAAGAGTGGCAGAAATGTGACGGTGGACAAAGACAGGAGTCTGTCCATCCGTCCGCAGACACAGCGGCACAAAGGCCCGAGGGGAGGCCGCCACAAAGACACCAAGATGTCCACCCAGCACGCTGAAAGGTTAATTGGCATATCTTGAAAGCTGTGCAGAGATGAAAAGACGGCTGGAACAAAGGCGGTGTGTGGAGAAGCCGGACAAGAGGAGGGCAGGGATAATATGATAAAACCCAGAGCTTCGCCGCTTTAATCGCTGCCTCTCTCCGGGATCCAATGGCCCAAATTCTCGGGTTGTTTCTCCCGCTCTCATATCTGGGTTCCATCTTCAGGCTGCGCACGCGATTCCCTCTGTCAGGGAACTGAACCGAACTGCGGCGGGTAAACTACGGTTGTGAAACGTCATTTCTCAAGAACTCCGATTTCTTCACCCAGAATATTTACAGTTTAGAAATAAGACACCTGCAGGCTGCGTCCCGGTTTCCCAACACTGGGACAGTACGAAGGAATTTCAGCCGTTTCCATAAACAGACTCAATGTGGTGTCATTCATATGAAATTTAAATTACCATCGATTGTAAATGTATTTGGGATATTCAGCTTTGATTACCATATGAATCCAGAAGCACAGGATTCACTCACTATGTGATGAAACAGGAGCAACATAAGCCTCAGGTTAACGCATAAAATCAGTAAATTAACTCGTTACAAAAACCCTCATGTGTTTCACCAATACAAATAAAAAAGGTGAGGCTTATATGTTATATATTCCACAAACACCAAGTGATACGGAGACATGGAAGTACTAAGAAATGTATCATTTATCATGATATATTTATTAGTATGATAAGAACTCTGATTTATTGTTGCTATGATAAATTCCAATCAAAGATGTTGAAAAATATAGTTGTGATTTCTAGTTTTATTATTTTCTCCAATGTTTGTTCAATGAAGCCGTCAATAAAAATCAATTAATTTGAAAATATGGTTAAATGAAGTTACTGTGTGCTGTCTAATGGTAGTGACTTCATTTTGTCACTGGTGTTCGAAAGAAGTGTGTAACAAATGAGCATGTTTTTTAAAAGTCATGCCATGACAGTTGCCTAAAAGAAAAATAATAAATAGTCCCTATTGTCGCTTTTATTGTTATCACAACAGTAACACAAAGTATCATGATAAAACTTTAAGTCCAAGTTGCCCAGCCCTAAATGGAAGTGATCAGTTGTTCCACTTCGCTTCACATTACTCTCACTCATGGTGGCTGTTTGCATTTTCTAGCAGACATTTTCCTTCCACTTAACTTTCCATTAGTATTCTTGGATACAGTGTCAGTTGCAGTAACTGTCAAATTAAGCCAATAATCTGATAATCTGTTTAGGTTTATTTTAATCAACCATACGTAAAAACACAGACATAAAAACCTTCAAAGTACATAACTTTGAAGTCATAGCTCTATGTAATATTCCAGTTTTTTACTCTATTACTGCAATAAAAAAAACTGTTAATGATTATTAAGAAGCACATGCAGCTATAAATCAGAAATGAACCAGAAACGATTGTCCAGAGACGAGTCTCACCTCACAGTGGCTTCTGTAGAGCGTCTGCAGCTTCTTAATATCAGTCATGCTGATGCGCTCAGGAAGAGGCTGCGTGCCCAGGTCCGGAGAAGGAAACGGAGGTAAGGCGTGAGACGTGTCTGTGGAAATGAACATGGATGAGTGTTCATCTATAAACCCAACATCTCCAGGCAGGAAAGACAGAATCTATGGGAACCTGTTGTGATGGTGCCAGAAGAAGACCTTCAAATGCAACTCAAAAATATCAAATCTGGGGGGGAAAATATGTATAAAAACGGTACATAAAGGCAGCTTGTGTGTTTACCGATGTACTGCTGGTGCTGCTGGGTTTGAGCGGCCACCGACTGCTCTGGGGTGCTGCTGCAGTGCTGAGAGCTTCCACACAGACTGTCAGACATGCTATCCACCTTCTGCAGAGGCTTAAACCTGCACAAACACGTGAGTGAAACATTCGTGTTAGCTGTAATAGTGGACAGATAACCTGAATAAACACAAAAAGCCGTTTTAAAACAACATTTTCATTCATTGAGGGGGAAAAAAGCTGCCCAACCCAGTCAGGAGAAAGCAACCACCTCCTTATTAAATCATGAATTAACGATGACTAAGTTATGTTTCATAGAAAAATGAACTCAGTTTTACAAGTCAAAACATGGCACTGATACCCCTACACAAAACTTTTAAAATACTTTGATTATACTGTCTTCTGGTATATTTTGCTAGATAAATATAGTTGTCTTGAGACAATTTTCAAGTAATATATTGGTAATCGTATTAATAGTCTCAAAGCTCAATAAGTTTTAAATTCTAATGAATATTTCACATTGGACCTGGAAGATAGTTTGAATGTCCAAAATAAATAAAACAGCAGAAACAACATGAACTATGAAGTTTCTGTAAACAAAACGTCCTTCTAAAAGAGATAGCTGAGGAAAAAACACCAGACTTTTGTCATTCAGTTTTCAGTAGAAAAAGAAAACGAAAAAAAAGAAAAACAATAAATCATTCAAATAAAAATGACTGAGCTCGTTTTAATTCATTGTGCAATTAATTGATTTATTGATTACTGCGACAGGCCTAACTGTCTTCAATTACATGTTACTGCTAAGGTTTGTTATTTATAAACACCTGATTACAGGAACAGTTGAAGGTTCTTACAATGAGACCTCTATGATACTCCAAACGAAACATCACCAAACAAAACCTAAAATTAAAATTTTCACAAAATGGAAATGATTTGGACAGAAAATGGCTAAATGCTGAAACGATTTAATCACAAATTACAAAAAACCAAAATGTAAGTCAACCTGGAAACTGTACTTTTCCAGCTGTTGCTAAAAGTCTGACCTCTGTTTCTGGTGGACAGGCTGCTGCCGCATCGCCATGTACTGGGTGTCCTCCTGCAGCCGGTTCAGGGGAGAGTCTGGCTTCACCCGGATGCCATAGTAATGGTACTTGGAGTTGCCTCTGAAGGAGAGAAAAGCAGTGAGAAAAAGCCTTGCCATCAGAGTAATTACTATCATTACTCTCCACCAGTCCCTCTCCAGTACATGTAAGCATGATCATATTCATCACTTCTTGAAAAGTTATGTGATTACTGTTATCAGCGTCCTCCTACCTGGTGCCGAGGCGCCGCGTCCTTAGGCCCATAAAGACGGAGCGGATGAGCTTCCCGAAGGACGCTGCGTTAACCGGATCCAGTTTCTGCTCCTGGCAGTGCCTGAGGTAATGGTTGTAGAGGGAACACCGGGGCAGGCTCACTCCCTCCGCCGTCTCATAGTTGTCCAGCAGCCACTGAAGCTGCAAACATGGAGGAGAATATATTCACACCCGGAGCGTTCCCAGGAGACGGACCTGAGCCGCAGAGGAGAGCAGCAGATCGTTTTATCACATCAAACGCCACATAACGCACACATCACACAGCCTCTGATTTTTAAACATCCACCCGTGACCACGTCTGTCTCTGAGCTACGGCTGTAAGTAACCAGAGCAATGAAAACTGCTACTACAGTTAAAATAACTCAACTTTAAACACACAATTTGGACACATGATGTTCAACGTTAAAGGGAAAACCTTAAATCACATTTCTACCTATTTAAATTCAAATATGTAATTTAGTTTTAATGTTTTCTTACACTTTTTTTTATAAAAAATTGTGTTGTAGTTTCCTTCGTTTTGTATTTATTGTTTGCACTGATTGTTATTGACAGAAATTCCTTAAACGTAAATGTGACAAAAATATTAATAAACTCCGTGACAAATTAAAAACAAAAACGTAAAAGTGAACAATAAAAAAAGTCAATGATACATAAAATGTTATGGGATCAAGACAAAAAATGTTAATGTGACAAAAAAATAACAATGAAATCATTAAATATGACAATAATAAAATAAATTGTAAATGTGACAAATAAGTGAAATAAAGCTGTAAAGATGTGTTGCAACTCTTCCTCTTCTATCTTTTAATTTGAATATTTTCCTCTCCTCCACCACAGAAGCGTTTTGTTGGAGCGTCTCCACTGAAAACAATTTCTCAGTAAACCTCATGTCTTTTATGCTGCTAATAGAAAACGGAATAGCTGTCTTTGTTCTTTAGTGTTTTGTAGCTGGAGAAATAAAATTGGACACTGAATCTGTCATTGATATGCAATTTAGAAAGGCCAATGAAAACAGTTAAAAATGTTTGACCACTGTAACATTTTTTTCTACAGAAACTCGAGGCTCATAGAACAAAAGATTAAAAGAAATTATCTCTGCAATTTTATCAGACTTCTTGCAATCAATATGTCATTAAATTAATTGAAATAATTCTTATAGAAAGCAAAAAAACACAATAATCGTGAACATTTTGAAGTTTGCTTTAAGAGCTTTACATTTAACATGCAGTGTGTTTGATGTTATGTTATTTAGTTTTTTATCTGTATCCTCAGACTTTACCTCTGTAACACACAATGTTAATCTTTCTGTGCTGTTCTGTTTCACCATTTATGGATAAATAAAACTAAAATATATCATCATTGACACTGTTACAGGGACACCATGCAAACGGTAGCTGAAAAACTAATTATTAATATTTAATCCAAACAAAGCACTAAGTTTATAGAATGTAGACACTTTTTTTTTTACTTATTATTTACTGTTTGTCTATACAAGATCAACTGGAACCACATTATAATATATAAGGAGCCAATTTTAGATTATTATTCAAATTTGTAAAAAGTTTTCCATCCAAGGAAACGATTGCATCGAGTCACTGACCAAAAGGATAAAAAAAAAATCTTTTGGTTCGTCCAACTAACTTTTTCCCTCCAATAAAAAAATCAAAAAGAAAGCTAGCTGGTGAAAAAGCAGGAAAAACAAATAATCAGCATTAGTTCATGCAGAGTATCAGAGCAATCATCTGAAATCTGTATACAAGGAAAAGTGACAGCACACATGAGTTTAGGTCAAGAATGAAACTAAATCAAATCATTTTGGGAAGGGGAAAGAAAGCCAGCAGCAAACAGTGTTTCACTGAGCAGACACAAGCAGAACACAGAGTCCACAGATTCAGCCATAACTTTCTGTTCTGTTTTACATAGAAAGTTCCTGGTTGACTTACATGGCTGTTGAGCAGGCTGCTTTTGTGACTTGCAATTCCTTCAGACTTTTGGAGGTTTTCAATCGCCATTTCAAGCTGAAGAAAGAAGCATGCAAAACAGAAAAAAAAAACAGGATACACAGAAAGGGAGGAGGCAGAACAGAGAGAGAGAGAAAGAGAGAGAGAAAAAACAGGAAGATTGCAGGGGTATAATGTTGGGGAGAAAGAAGAAGAGAAGAGAAAAGGGAAATAAGACTGTTAGCAAGCAGCCAGATCTCTGCATTTCCATTAAAATCAGTCAGTGTTGCAGCCAAATCCATTATTGGCTGACAAAAGCATGCAAATCAAGGGACTCATAGGGTTAAGCAGCTCAGTGACGGCTCGGGATCTGACACACTAAAAGTATGCAAATAGGAACAACAAACAGGGTCACAGGTCAAATAAAGACCTGGGTCAACAATGGCAATCATCCCAGAGTTGGTTCAACTTCAAAAAATTTTTAAAAACCAAAATAGGCAGATACGTTAGAAGCTACAATGACAAAATCAGGCACAACATAAAGTAACTCTACATTGATTTCTTCAGAGAAAAAAAAAAACTAAATTATTTGAGTGGTTAGATGTTTAACTGAATGACTAAAGTGGAGACATCTATGGAGGAAAATCAATCAAAACTGATGCCAGACTTTAGACATAAGAGAAGGAAAAAGAAGCAGGCAGCGTTCCAAGGCTTTAGCAGAGATCCAGCGGGCTCTGGGCCAAATGGTAAGAAGCCCCAGGGGTTTCTTTGTTTCAGGGCCTCTCGAATGCCCCGTGAAAACCCTTAAAACAATTCAGCCCTGAATTAAGGCAAAGTCCCACTTCTGCAGGCTAGCTGCCTAGCACCACTTTGCTCTCAGTGTGTGGTCATTCAGGTACAACAACTCAAATCAGGTTGTGGACTGCTGGCATAAAGGAGTGTTAATCAGGAAACAGGTCCTGCCAGCTGAGCCGACAGAATCCACAGAAAACTTTGACTTTCCTGGTTCTACCTCAGGACCAACTCACCATGGCTGAGGAGGAGCGAGACGAGTGTGAGATGTGGTTGCGGTTCCCCTCCATGCCGCCGCTGTGCAGCAGGTAGGTGCTGCCGCTGGAAATGATGTGGCTGCTGCCCACGTCCATGGCAATGCCCACCATGCCGTGAGGCGGCACGCCACTGCTGGCGGAGGACACCACCGTGGTGACGTGGGTTCCTCCGGCCTGAGAGTCAAAGTAGGCCCCCCCGCTGCCCTGTCCGTACAGCTGGGAGTCCGGGTTGTAGGAGTAGGCCGTTCGGCTGCAGACAGATCGCTGCGGTTAGCATCAGGTGCATTTTGAGTTTTACCATAAACATCTTCAGTAAATTCGCTTTGTTCTGTTTCAGAAGAAGTTCAATGAAAGCAGAGATGCACCAAGAAATCAGCTGATGATTTTTGGTTTAATCGGAAACTCAAATGTTCTAATAATTTTTCAGTCAGTGAATGCATCACACCAAAGCTCTACTGGGTCACACTCACTGAAATGATTAATCAGGATCATCGTGATTAATCGATTATTGGAGTAATCGTCAACTAATTTAGTAATCGATTAATCATTAACTGGAGGAGACAGACTCAAAGAGAGGCCATTTTCAAAAAAGCAGCAGTCAGAGCAGTTAATAAGCCAAAGCTGTATAAAAATGTATATTTTGCATTTATGATTTTAAAAAACAAAAACTTCTTTGTCTGTAAAAATGTTCTACCCAAAACTCCTCAGGTGGCTGTTTTAGCTTCACCTATTTTAAATCCTATTAAAGGAAATATTTCCTCATCAAATAATTAATTGGCTAAATTGTAAAGTAAACAGATTATCTCTACAGTATTGATGTTAAGTCAAGTAGAAAGAGATCGATTTTTCACAAGTTAATATTATAAGTGTTTCTTAGCTGTAGATGCATCTTTTGCAACAAATGATCAAGCATTTGCTAAAGGAATACTACGTTAACGTCAGTTTATTTTCCAAAACTAATTATTAGTTTTTCATTGCATCTGTAGTTCTGTATTGGTTAAATGAAAAATATTCAGAATGGGCAATATTTTTATCCGATTAATTGTCACAATAGTAGATAGACAATTCAAAAGAAAGTACAAAGAGGTAATTTTCAATAGATACACATACGGGTGATGGAAAGCAATAAGGTGTGTATTGCAGATAACTTGGTGTAAGGGTTTAGAAAGACAAACCAGAATAAAATGGGAAAATGTATAGGTAAATATTAGTAACTGTTACTTCTGACTGCTACTTTGATTTTGATTTTTTTAATGACAGTAGGACTCTAAAGTTTCAAGTGTTTAGGGGTAGGAGTTTATAAGTTCTCACTTCTTCCTACCCCATTTTGAGCATGATATGTTAACTGAAACAAAAAAATCTGTATTTTCTCTTCTTTCTTATGCACTTCTTGTTACTGTGCACTATTTTATTTTATATTTGTATCATGTTCGAATAAAATTTCATTTCATTTCATTTCATTTCATAGAATAACTGATAACTAGAATAATCGTTAGTTGCAGGCCTAAACTGCAGTGGATTATTGATGTGTTGAATAGCTAGATCAGAATTCAAAATCTAAATTTTGATCAGCGTGTCCCTTGTTTAGCCCACAGGAATGATTTGCTGTATGCAATTGTGTCGACATGGACAACAGATTAAGTGACGTCACAAAACTCGGTCATATTGGAGCAACATTAAACAATAAAACTGCAAAACGGAGAAGAAGAAAAAAAAAACAGCTGGGCTTTAATTAGCCTAAATGGCATTTTGATTGGAGCCACTTTAAAAACAGTTGGAGATGCAGTTAACATGAGGAGACAAGTGGTGAGGGAAATCTCATCCGTCACCGTGTTTTCAACACACCACTCACTCTTGCATAATTTAAGAAGATTGTAATCACTGTGGTGTAAACTGTGAGTCTGTGTCAGAATCTGGAAAAAATATCTGCAGGTTTTTGTCAAATTTCATGGGGAGTGTTTTTTTTTATTATTATTACGTAAAACTTCCTTGACAGGAATAAAACACCTTAAAACCAGTGAAATTAAAGAACTGAGCTTACATAGTTCCGTTGGTATAAACTGCTTCTCCGCTTTCTCCTACATATTGTACTGGAGTTGGGTAGACATGTTGTACCTGCTGCTTGTATAAAGAGACACAGTACAAAAAGTTGTGTTCAGAGTTAAAACAGCTGTGAAATGGAAAAAATGCAGTTAGGTGATTAAATAAAATATAGCAGAAAAAAGAAAAACCTGTCCACCCCTTGGCTTATTCACAATCTGTCCAAAACACAAGTTATTCAAATATTTTTTTAAAAATCATCAATTAAAACCCCAGCTAAAGGTGTGTAAAAAAACATTTTTTTTACTGCAGCATAACAATCTAAAAATGAAAAATTAAGAAAAATCCAACATTTTACGCATGTCAATTTATTTAGTGGAAGGAAAAACCCCACATTTTTCTTTTGTTTCTTCCAAAAATCTCAAATGCAGCTGTAGCAATATGTCTGAGAACTAATGAACACTTTGAATTGATCGCTTCTACAGTTGATAGGAATGAAATCTTTGATTATTAACCCACAACTTCCTGGTTCCCTGGAATATACACGTTTAATTTGACACAGAGCCCCATTTTGCTTAACCCCTCTTCAAAATGGAAGAAAAAAACATGGGATTCAACAAAAGCAGATGCGTGTATTATTATTATTATTATTATTATTATTATTATTATTATTATTATTATTATTATTATGAAGTCATGAAATGCCTACAAGGACATGGCTGCTCAACAAAACTTTCACATATTTAATATCAGAGAAATGATTATTAAGACAACTAAAACTTTGAAAAACAGTGCTGGACAAAGATCCATCCTGTCATCACATACAGAGAGTAGCAGATTTTAAAAAAATCTCCAAAGATTACCATGAGAGGTCTGTAGTAAATATTGAGGGGTCACCATGTCTCCTTAATAACCTATAAACATGTCAGCAGTTGGGAAGCATGTCAGATGTTCTGCCATGCCCAAAAAATCCGAGGCTTTGTGCCTTTCCCTCTTGTTTATTAGAGCATATTGCATCATTAACTCCAAGTAATACCAGAACATTTTATATAAAGTCTAATAAGATAATGGTAGAAAACTGAGAATGGGTCATAACTGGGTCTTTCAGCTCAGTAATGACCCATAACGTCCGGTTACACTGACACAATAATCATTCACAAGAAACTGTTTTCAATGCCCATCCGAGTCTATAGAACAAACTCCTACAGAAAAACTGCAGGGAAAGCTGAATTTATGACAAAAAATACTCCTAGCTCTGAAGAACATACAGAGATTATGAAAAGAAGAACGGTCAAAGATTCCTCTGTTCGTGTCCCAACATTGTGATAAAAAGACCAAGTTCTGTCCCGTTGGCAAAACTGAAAAATACAAAATAAAAACATAGACCAGCTGCGGTGATTTTGTAAAAAAACAAAACAAAAAAAAGTGTATAGAATAACTTATTTGTCTGGGATTTTTCTTCCACATTGCATAAATGTATTCAAACTAAAGCTTGCACTTTTCTTAATTTTTCTCTAAGATTGTAGTTCAGAAGTAAAAAACAAAACATCTTTACCTGGGGTGCCAATAGATGTGGATGCTACGAAAATGTGAAGAAAATTGGAATTGGACAATGAAACTAAATTAATTGCTACTGGTTATGAAATGCATCCGAACTTCAACAGACTGTAATGATGCAGATGCACAACTAGAGATGTAGGAACTACTTAAGGATGAAAATGGAGAGAAAGTCGTAACAAACGGTTGGGTTTTGGTTCAAGCCTTCAGGAATATCACTCAAACTCTGCAGCAGGTTGACACAACGCACTAAGACTAAGACGAGTTGAAGACCAAAAAAAAAAAAAAAAAAAAACAAAATGTCACAAGTCATATTTTACAGTTAAGTCCAAAATTAACTGTAATTTCGGATTAAATTTTTTTTCTGAAAAGAAATTTATCGCTAGAGTTACTCGAACATCAAATTCAAAAGGCTTGTGTTTACATTTTCATATACGAATGCAATGTCACAAATCATTTACACCCATCTCAATAATAAGAATATTTTTTACTGGCATCACAGCAATCAAATCATTGTTTGAATTACTGACTAGGTTTTGGTGAATTTTTACCATTTTATCTGTTTTTGGTGATGAGCTCCATGTCTTTGCGTTTGGAAAACCTCCATACCATAATCCTAATCTTCAGCTGTTTACACAGATCATCAAATTCAGGTTTGCAATCTAGCTGGGCCACTACAAAATGTTCATATTATTTGCAGTCAGAATAAAAATTTTATCATTAACAATTACAATAAACTTACGTCTGCCAGACATAAGTCTAATTTTGGCTCTAATTGCACCTTTAATTTTTTTCAACATTAATCTAACTGAAAATATTTTAGTGTTGCTGCCTGGACTTCCATTTTCCACATTTTTAGTATGTGAATGTTGATGTTAATGACATGTGCATGTGTTTCAAATGAAAAAGGGGGTAGCTGGAGACAATCTTGCAGATGTTCCTTTATAAAAACATGTCCCTCAGTAGAAACGTTTCTAACAAAGTGAGGGGTAACATCAAAATCAACCTCAGTGGATTGAAAGAAGGGAGCCTAACGAGGGTCCTTCCTCCCATCAAATTGGGAACAAGGAAGCAGTGCCAGTTCAAAAACAGCCTCATTTTAACTTGGGTGTTTGTGATCCTACAGCTCAGCCACAGAATGAAACTTTTCATATCCTTAAGAGGCGCACAAAGGAAAAGATGCACAGCTTGTTGGAGAGGAACAGGCTGGTAAGTTAAGTCTTACCAAAAATCAAATTTAAGATAATTTTTTCTGAATGGAAAGTGTCACAAAGAGATAAATATTATATCTTTGAGAATATATAGAGCACTGAAAATGATTTACTCCAAAATAATGGTCCAAATCATGATAAGTCCAACTCTGAGTAGCTCAAAAGGAAAAAACTTTAAAATCTATGGAGTGGTCTAGTCAAAGTCAAGGGTCAGGTTGGTTTGGACAACTGTTTTTCACTTGAAAATGAATAAATTATTAAAGTTTCATAATCTGAAACTTGGGTGATCTTTTGTAGCCAAATAACCATGTTTTAGGAAAAGAACGTATATCTCTCTGGCTAAATTTAACTGGTAAAAAGACTTTTGAAAATCTTTAAAGCAGTCTGTAAAAAGTCAAGGGGTGTCCAACTATTTTCAGAACACGGTACAGGTATGCACAGTACTGTGTACCTGCTGGGGGACCCTGGATACTGATACTTGTCCTCCTTTCTGAGCTGAGCCTGTGGCTTGAACCAGCACCCTCTGTGTGAATATGAGACACAACTCAATTACATAGGTATGCATGTACATACACACACAAACACTAGAAGTCTACACAACGAGAAAACACCTTTATCAAGAAAACACTGATTACTACATGTTAAACCTTTCATTGTTTCGGAAAAGATAATGTTGACATTTTACTGAAAAACAGAAGCAGCGAAGACAGAGAAATGGAACGAGCGACATGGAAATGAGATGAGAGGTGTAGGTTTTGTTTATGTGGCATGCAGTCCAATTTTCTGCCATCAAGCAGCTCATTTGTGTCACCAAATGATAAAAAAAAGACACCAGTTATTAACTTTAAATAGTATAACTTCAAATTCCTAATGAAAAATAAATCTAATACTATTTCTGCTGGTTTTACCTGTAAAGTTAATCTTCAGCACATTCAGAATTTACTGCCTTCAGCTTTAACATCATTCAAAATATTTACAATAAGCTCCTGACTGACATTTTATCCTATCTAGGATTAGGAAGTCCAATCGAAGAAGGCTTTTTCCTGTCCTTATAGAAACAGCAGGTGGGCTGATGGGCGGGGTCCCTACCTGCTGGGAGGCTGGGACAGGCTGTACCACAGGAGCCTGGGCCGATGATGATGTCCGTAGTGTTGCCACACCAGTGGGGGGGTCTGACGCTGCTTCTGAGTTCTGCATGCTGGAATTCATAGAAAGAAAATAAATATGAGATAATGCACTAATCTGGAACAAAAATTTCACAGAACATTCAGAGGTAATATTAAGATTTAAAACTAGAGATTCGGGGTGAAGCACAACCCATGTATAGAGGCCTTAGTCCTCAACGCGGCTGTCACAGCTTTGAGTCCCAGCCTGTTGATCTTTGCCACATTTCTTTCAGACTTTCAGACTTTCACGTCTGACCGTCATCAAGTAAAGGCCACTAGAGCCAATAAAACCTTTAAAAAAAAAAAAGAATTGCATCAAGAATTGGACGATGTTTAGTTTGATCCGTCTTGATCACTGGCTGGTCAGTCAGAAAATGAAAAATCCAATCTTTTTTGAAGTCAATGAACATACCAGACACTTTGTTGCAAATTTTTAGAAAATAAAGTTTCTATTGACTAAAAGTCACCAGAAGTTACTAAAGAAAGAAATAACATTTGTAAAATAATAACATATGTAATGTGATATCAGCAAAAGAAGCCCATAAGCTGGATACTGGAAGTCGCTTAGGTTTTTTATTTATGGATTTTTGTTGTTTCAGTTTTCTTAACTGTGGTTTGGGTGGTTTTGTTCAGACTTTTGCTGTCTCCAAAAGTCTCCAAAAGCATAATAAAAAAAAGCCACCAGATTCATTTTCAGTCTTTTTTGATCACAGAATAACAAGGGGGTCTGAATAATGTAAATACAACAACAACGTCAGTAAGTTGACAGCAAAGGGGGAAGCGGAGAGATGCAACAAGCAGTTTAAAAAGGAAAATGTATTTCCTATGACATGTCAAGACATGCCTGTGGTTGATTCCAGCCATAAGAGAGAGACTTTTAGCTGCTAACAGGAAGGCCAACTGGAGAACCTCAAAGGTGATTGGTTTAAATCTTTTAAGTTATTCATCTGTCTTGGGAAATGAGGGGATTGGAATGTTAGCAACCTTTTGAACATTTCAATGTTAACATGAGGATCTAGATTCACTAAGAAACAAACAGTGGCTGTTGATTTATTTATGCTACTTGGGCTAACAGAGTTGCTAAAAACAGTCAATTATAGTAATCATCATTCAAAAGACTTGGCAGAGTCTTTTGGCTGTATCAAGTCAAGCTGCGTCACCAAAACCTTTAAGTGACCCACTGGATATCGTTTGGTTTTAATAAATGCCAAAAATGGGAGGTCCCAACAGTACTCCTCACTATCTACTATCAGAACAGAATCATGTGGGAAAGTTAGAGCAGAGGAGCTAAAATTACCAACAGTACTGCGCCATTTCCTGCAGGCCGAACCCACTGCCACCACTTTGCTTTCCACTGGGTCACAATGTGTGCAGCATAGCAAAGGGGAGCTAAAAATGGAGTGACACAAAGGCTCTTTAAAAATCAAAGACACAGAGAGAAAGAGCTGGGGTAAGGCATGCACAAGAATGGTACTGCAAGGGGAGAAGAGAGTGAAGAGAAAAAAAAAACACAAGTTCCCTACTTTCTGAAAAAAAAAGGGGGAAAAGATGAAAATGGCAGTGGGGTTTCAGCCCCTGCAAAGGTCCTGACGATATCCAGCATGAGTTTTAAATGAGAGACGTCTCCATGGGCTCCAATAATCCAGCTGATATGAGGAAATTCCTCAATGCTTTGTAAACGCTTGTCGGTTGCTATGGTGAGGACTCCATGACGACCACCATGAGTCAACCCCCCACCCCTCTGTGTTCGCTCCCCATCCTCATCCCTCTTTTATAAAGCTCTTCCACAGGAACTCTTGAGTGTGACCACAAAGAGGGAAAGGGGGAGGAGAGCAGCAATAAGGGTGAGAGATACGGCAGCACAGCTGGGGGGGTGGGCTCATCTGATGAGCAAGATGTAGCTTACGGCAGAAATCCTGGATAGTTAGCAGACCAGCGGAAGATTAAAAATCATTGAAAAGTTACAAGAGACAGCCTGATCTCGACATCCTATGATTATTAGCCTCGTCAGTCAGCCTGCATAACTTTGTTATTTCAGTTTCCAGTAAGCCATCGCTGACAAGCACCACTTCAATCATAGCTGAGCCAACACATAAACAAGAGAGTAAAGAGCCAATTTTAAGTTATTTGACGAGGAACTTTTTGTCCATTATGCATTTTGTAAACAATAAATATGGAATGAGGACTCAAAATGTTTACAAAGCAAAAACATCATTTAAAAAAGCCTAAGGAAGTCTAGCTCATGGCTACTAACAATAAAATGCAAGACTTCCCCCAGGAAACCGTGTTTATGCGTTGGTAAATGTTAAAAATTACAAATATATGGACGTGCCCAAGTAGGTATCATAATTTGGAAATAACGTGTGAGGCCAATGGGTAGGTACAAGGACGGCACAAATGGTGTGCACTCCCTTGCACCCAGTTCAATTTGTCATTTATAAACCTAACTTAATCCGTCTTTACTGTTACTGGCTTGTGTATAAAGAACACCAGCCAGTAAATAAACAAATGATTTAAAATAAATGATACTTAGCGGGTGGCCCGCCAGGCTTATAATACACTAGATGAAACCCTGAAAAGCTTGTAAGTGTGTTTGTTATATTTTAGATCAGCTTTGAGAGACTATTTGATAAGACTTTCAATTTCAAATAATAAACCAAAGTTAGTCGGCAGGATTCATAAGCTGTGAGACGAATAAAAGAACCCAAACCATGCTCTTCAAAATAAAAAAAAAACTGCCTAAAAACTGCTTAGAACTACAAAATCATGGTTACCAAAAGGAAGTGGAAATAAATGCGAGCAGCTCTGAACAAAAATGCTGAGCTCACACAGAAAAACATCTGCTTGGGTGGATCATTTCAGGAAAATATGGTCATCATTCATTCACACAATCACACAAGCTACTGGCACTGTTCACTATGAGACGTAGGAATTTCAGATCACCAGCTTAACACTGCATCATGATACAAATTAAGGACTAGCACTTTTTATATAGGTTCTTTATTGAATAATTAGGTTGGCAACACTTTATTTGAAGGGGTGTGCATAAGACTAACATAACACTGTCATAAACGTGACATAACATCTGTCATGAACATGAACGAGTCCTTATGAATGTCTATGACTTGTCATGAAGTGTCATTCGGTAAATAATGACAATTTTAATGCAACGTTGCATTAAAAGTTGCATTAAAAGTCCATTAAAAGTGCTAACTTTGCATGATTTTGTAAATAATGATAATTTAATGCAATGTTGGCACTTTTAATGGACTTTCAATGCAACTTTTAGAGCAACCTTGCATTAAAAGTGTCATTATTTACCGAATGACACTTCATGACAACAGCCATAGACATTCATAAAGACTCGTTCATGTTCATGACAGGTGTTATGTCATGTTTATGACAGTGTCATGTCAGTCTTATTCACACCCCATCAAATAAAGTGTTACTACCATTAGGCTTAGCTTTGTCTAAGGCAAAGTTTAGTAATTTTAGTTAGGACCAACTTAACTGAAAGAGATTCAGTGTAATAATAATGTATCCATTCAAATTATCATCTCAAGATAAGGTAAAAGTCATATTACATGGATTAGATTCAATTAAATACAGTCTAATCAGTAAGAAACCCCAAAAATATTTTTTCTGTTTAGTAAACTCATAGTTCTTAGGCGCTGAAAGGCCACAGATAAAAAGTCATTTCACACTGAAATGACTTTCAGTGTGAAAGTCATTTCTGAATGAAGAGGACTGAGTTAGCCTTTCTTTCATGAGACAAAAACGAGGCTTTCAAAAATTGTGTCACAGAATTCAAAAAAGGTTTAGAGACTTCTAGAAAGAAGTCACATTGGGGATGAAACAGCAGCAGATAACAGAAAGCAGAAACAAAACAAAATGTTGGCAATGTTTTGCAAGTTTCACATCTAAAGTATGACTCTTCATTCTCCTAACTGTCCCAATAATAACAAGCAATAGCAGAACATGATATAGACAACTTAAAATGTCAACTCTGGAGTCACAGTGTGGGTCAGCTGGTAGAGCAGATCCCTCTTTTAGAGGTTACAGTCCTCAGCGCAGCTTTCTAGAGTTCAACTCCACGCCCCGGGGGATTTACTGCACGTCTTCACCCTTTTTCCTTCTGCCTCATTCCTCGTCAGCTAAGTGGGGAATAAATAAAAGCAACCAGCGCCTGAAAATCGTAAAGGAAGAAATAATCATGATCAACTAGGCAAAAATAACGCAATCATTTTGTTTTGGTTTTGACACAGCAGTAGAATCTAGTGGAACTGCTTTGTGTCACCTGTGTCAAAGCTCAAATATGTAAAAGGTCAGAGTTATACAGAATTGGTGATTATAAATCAGTCACAAAACTGTTTAATCGATGCATCTTGATTTACTGGTGAATTTTGCAAACAGTAGAGTATAAAAACCAGTACCTTTAGATTGGAAATGTAACTTTCCTCAGTTCGAGAGAGCAATTACATTTAATAATGTGGTTTTCTTGGGACACTATTGTGCCATCAGTGACATATTAGATGCGATGTCACAGAGATAATGATCTGTCTACATGACTAACACTGAGTAAATAAGACCTGTGTTGAAATGTAAACGTTCCTAATATTTAAAATACTGTAGATAGATCTTAAAAGTTTCCCAGAGAACAGATAACAAAAGCAATCCCTGTAGACAGGTTCTCGTATTTTACAAAATAGCTTCATTCCTAACTCGTATGCCTGAGAACAACATAAACAACTGTACATTTAAAAGGCTCCTGCAACTTTCAAATATCACTCTGAAGTCTGGGGTTTTGGACCCAAAGTGTGAGCTAAGTTATAAATACATGGCAGCAATCCTATAATTTTTCTCTGTAACTTGTCTTTTTCACCAGAGGAAGTGACACAAACCTAGGGGGCAATTTATGTCATTAAAGAGTGGGTGGCAATGTGTCACGATGGTGCAGAAGAAACTAGAACTGGGTGCTGCTGACCTGTATGTTCTCATCCTGTAAAGTCAAACTTTAAATAAGTTGGCTGAA